ACACGTGGCCGAATTGGCAGACGATGGAAGGAAGTAGACCTGATGCGCTTGGTATTCGACTTCTTGACCGATCCAGTAGCGGTGATAAGCTTCCAAGTTATCCACGCATTGGCTGTCGTTGACTTTTTTGAAGTGCTTGGCGCCTTCCAAGTGTTCTTTCATGAGTTTGAAGGCAAATTTGCAACAACACAAAAGACAAGCGCAGTCGGTGGTATTGTGTAACAGTATTACATGCAGCTCGCTGCCGTTTTTCATTTTTGTTTTTCCGGAAAACTGATGATTGCCGTACAGCAGACGTTCCAGATTCGAATGATAATGAATATCGAAATTAAAGCGCATAGGCGATTGAGGCGTGAAAGTCAAACAATTATTGCAAGTATTTTCGTTAATATAACCATTTACAATACTAGACTTTATTGGACTGATAGATGCAATTTGATCAGTTTGTCCATTATCCGGTTCGATTGCTTCCACTTCTTCCCCATACAGTTGCGCCTGCATTTTCAAAATCGCTACATTTCTGTACGTTTTAAACTGTTCCAAAATCAGTTTTTTGTGTCTCTTATCCAAAAGGTGATCCTTAAGCGATGTGTATGCAACATAGGAGCAAGTGCAAAGTTCACATAACGTATAATACTTATTAAACGGTACAAAGTACAATTGATGCACTTGAAATGCCAGCTCTTGACTCATCCATTGCTTGTGAAAGACTTCTACATTGGGTAAAGACGCTGAAACCTTATTTGCAGTATGCCTTTTCCCTCCAATGTGCGATACGACAGATTTGCGGCCGACAATAGTATCACATATTAAGCAGCTGCACATATCGTCATCTATAATTCGTAACGTGTAATAACTGACGCCGTTTATATAAACCGTATCGTTTTTAAATTCTCTGGTGATGTAAAAAAATCTGACAACTTCTGGGAAATATCCAACCGAAAAACGAAACTTAAACTTGGTGGGCAGCGTAACAGCACAAGTACAGCCACTTGAAGTTCCTACACCTTCAACTTGCACCGGCGTTTGGAGATCCAAAACACTGTTCTGATTGGATAACACCTGCTCAAAATGTTCATGATGTTGAATGCTCTCCCAACAGTCTATCTTCACCAATTCGTCGCATTTACTGCACCTAATCAAACATGTTTATAGTTAATGATCTGACAAAACAAGAAATCAATATACACATAAACTATACAATGGCACAAACATGAGAGGAATTCAGGCAAAAAATTAAAAAATGGACAGCGCTTTGAGGCGAGTAACTTAGTGCATTTTCCATGCATTGAATAGTGCTTTGTGTACAAAGGAAAATAAGTTATGGCATAAATATGAATCTTAGCATTGCCTAGTCTGCGCATGCGCACACATGATGTTTAAAATATGCGATATGTTTGCCTTTACTAGAAGAATCGTTGGTTAAAATTTCAAAAAAAACATTAAAGTTGGCATTGCGCAGTTTGCGCATGCGCACCTTAATCGTAAAGATTTTTCTTGGTTCATGTGCCAGTGCTATAAGCTACCGAATTCAAAAAGAACGAATATATTGAAAACTGTAGCAGTAGTAAAGGCCTCGGACGGGCGGACGGAGAAAGTGACCATAATAGCGCCTTCCATCATGAATTCCTTCGGAACGGTGTCCTTTCATAACCAAAAATGAAATGTACCATTATCACAATTTATCGCTGCGTAAATTAAAACATTTGCCATACTGGACATGGAATAAATAACAATAAACTAAGAAATAACATTTTGTGCTATCTCTTTGGTTAATCTCGAGATTAAGTTGGTATCATCTTTGGTCTTTGGATCCTCATTTATGCACCAATTTCGTCGGCAAAACAACACAACACTTTAATTTCATGGCGAGGATATCAATATTACGCCACCTTTCTTTGGTTAAGGTGAAGGTTAAGTTGGTAGAGCAAAATGTTGGTTTGGAAAGAAGGCGCAGGGATTGGTTTTGACCTACTTTTAGGGGAATTTTCTTAGTCCTGGATTTTTTTTGCAATAGGTAACATAAACCTTGAAGGTGTGTGCAAGACGGCGATCAAATTTCGCTGTCTTAAGGGAAGCCCCCTCCCCTCCTTAATCATTTATAACGCAACTCCTTTTTGAGATCAGCGTTTTGGGGGGAGGGGGGTAAAAATTAATTTTACCTTTCAAGGTTATGTAAATTAAAGGTCTCAAGGAAAGGAATCCTGGAATAATTATATCCATTTATAATGCCAATACTTTAAGAGCGAATATCTTGAAAACTGTTTGTCGGAAGAAAGTCCTGACAAAGGAAAAAAGAATCGTCTGGACGAGACATATTTATTGGTGAAGTCTCACCACTATACATTCTGCAAATGAGGGAGCTGGTCACAGCAACAATATCTCGAGCTTTCCAAAAGAGGGGTTGATCAAATGATATGATGTTACTGCAAAACTGGTCGTCTGCCATGAGTGCACAAATTAGGGTATCATATTTTCATCTCTATCTAGCCCCTGAAAAGTTTTGAAGTGGGCGGCTACCTGCGCCTGTTTTTATACTAGACTAGACGACGTACAGATGCCCGCAGTTTGTAACAGGTGGTCGCTTTAGGCTTAAAAAATGTTGGTATTGATTTTACAAATTTGCCAGTATAGGAAATTTTATGCGTGAGATCTGGTGCTGAGGGCAGTACATCACCGACTAGCTGAGCAGCACCTATAGTAGTTCAGTTATTGGTATTGTATATAATCCAGGATTTTTGTGCACTATACATGGTTTCAGAAGAACTGACAGTGTCAGCAGGCATGTAAGTTTTCAGACGAGGGATTTCTTTATCCAGGAAGTATGGCAGAGTATGGAATGATACCTCCTATCTCATGGAACGTATTTTCTCAGTCCAAAGTGCTCACATTAACATCTGCGTTGTCAAAGACAATCTGAATAAGTGCGCCTTTTTCAATTCCTAGTCTGTTCGCGCAATAGGCAAGTTTGACATTTTTTTATTGTAACTGTAATCGAGAGATTTTGTTCTTTTAAAACGACCAAAAAAAATTTGGGCACAAAATATTGATACTTATAGGTAAAATAACAAGTTTTCCGTTGCACGTCATTACTGGAATAATTTCACATACCAACCTAAATATTTAAATGGGATGTATTGTTATAAGTTAAAAACAGTTTATTTGAAATTATACGGTTGGTACAGAAATGCGACGTTGGCGCGACTCTGTACTATGCATTTAAGGTTATGTTGCTATCTGTCACCCATTCTGTCACCTTGCGTGTGCTTCGAATCGTCTAGTTTATCGTAGTTTCGTGCCTTTTTATCAAGCTTCTCAATTCCACAAACCAAACTGTTCTTTTCAGAGCAACTTTTTGTCGTACTGTGAAGCGTTATTTATTACGATGACGAAGAATTTGGATAGCACTGCTAAAAAAATGGTAGCCCCTGGTTACCTTTGCAGTCAGTAAGAGAGGTAACAAGAGCATAATTTTTACATTAGGTACCTATTCTACTAAGTAATTATCGTAGAGAGTGGCACAAGCTTTAAGTATCAGTATCTCCACGGTCAATACCATATCAGCTGCAGTGAAGAAGAATGAAGTGTTGAAATCGCCTTCAAAGAATCGTCATCGCCTGTGATAAATGTATCTAATTTGAACGTCGATGGTATTAGAAACATAATTTATAAAATGTACGAAAACAGTAAGTTGATCACACTTTGTTTCACAATTTGTATAATCAGAGTTGCAGAAGTGCATGTTACACTGGCATCTGTGCATGAACAGCTTCGTGAAAAAGTCATTTTTCTTTTCTTTTCTTTTTTTCTTTTTCTGCGTCAGCTATACAAACATTGGGTTTCATAATTCGTAATAGTAAACCGTTTAAAAATACTGATACGTTGTTGTCCTTGTATTGTGTTTTAATAAGGCCCAAATTGGAGTACTGTGATCTTATCTGGTATCCGATCTATTGGACCCACATTATCTCAATTGAGAAAATTCAAAGAAGATTTATGAAGTACGTTTCGTTTAAGCAAGATGGTCTCTATCCGGCTAGAGGTTGTCCCTATGATGAACTGCTTAGCCGGTTTAATCTGCAATCATTGGAGAAAAGACGTATTTGCAATAGTCTTAAATTTACCCATGGTCTATTACATAACCGTATTGATTGTCCTAGCGTCCTGTCCCTATTTAACTTTCATGTTCCGCCTCGTACTAGTCGCTATCCGTTAGTTTTTCTTAATCCGACACCCAAAACGAACTTGCTGTTAAAATCGCCAATGTGTTTGATGTCACAAAATTGTAATCAATACTGCACACAATGTGATTTAAATATCTGCTCATTATTAGATGTAATTAATCTATTTCATTATTCTTTAATTGGTTTGTCATTTCGTAGATATATATGTCTCCTTACATTTAAATATCTTTATTTTTTTATTTTTTTTGATAATCAATTTATAGTATATTATGTTTATTTTTCAATCATGCCATATTTAATTTCTGTAATTGTTCTGTAATTGGATGTACAAACATCTGTTGGACAATAAATCATTATTATTATTATTATTATTTTTCATGGTTCATTGGCATCATTGCGAACAGTGCTAAAAGAAATTGAATTTAAATGGAAAAAAACGAGCCCAGGCGAGGTCTAATGGAACTACCCCATGTGGCAAGTAAAAGAATTCGTTTTCTGCGCCAATACAAAGATTTCAATTAAAAAGATTTGTACCAATTTGTTTTTCTTGATGAAACGTGGATATTCCAAAATGGCACTATACAACGCTCATGGTAAGATAGTAATGGAAGAAGTGTGAAAA